TTGTCACTACAGTTTCGGAGTGCGTTGATTGAATAGGATATTCTTCCCATTAGAGGAACGAACTCTCTTAGATGTGATACAATGCCCATGATATGTCTAACGTCACGACTATTTCTGGGTGTTTTCCAGTCGTCAATATTGCACAATCGCCTCGTATCAATTTTTTTGATTCCGGGGCCAACAATAAATCCTAACAAATATATCGAAGTTTGAAGAAACGAGCACTTGTCAAAGTTGATGCGAAGATTAACCGAGGTTAATTTCTCAATTACAGCCTTAACAATTTCCGCGTGATCTTCTGGCGCCGAATATATGCACAGATCATCGATGTAATTTCGTACGCCTTCCATCCCTTGGAAAAGTTGCGCAATCACTCGTGAGTATTGTTGTGATATAATGATAATCCAAAGCAGCATCCTTTCCATCTGTAAGTCTTATTTTTGAATGTAAAGCTTAAGATTTCTTGTGATTCACTGTCAACTGGAAATGAAAAATACGCATTCTTTAAATCAATTTTCGTGTAGACTCTTCCCGGTGCACTCACTTCGGCAAACATTTGTTCCATATCCGGGATCACATATTTGTCCGTTTTAGAGTCATCAATGTTGGAATTGATTCTTCGAAGGTCCATACACACTCTTGTTTTGGTTAATTGCCCAGTTTGGTCATCTTTTTTTCCTACAGCTAACAATGGTGTATTATACTTTGAGCTGGGCATGCTTTCGTATACTATCCCCTCATTTACCCATTCATTAATCTGTCTTTGTATTTCTGGTATTTGATGGTACACTAACGGATACTGCTTGATATACATGTTATCTGTTTGTGTTTTTAGAGGGATGCGAATGAGTGCCTCAGGCATCGTGCAAAACGATCCTTTCGGTATGTTTTTGTTTGCCTCGGTGGCCCCATGTATTTCTTCTAAAAATATCTTTCGCTCCTTGTCCGTACCATAATTAGCATTTTCCGGATCATATTTGTTCTGCGTGTCAAAGTTTACATTCCGAAATTGTGCTTCTGTTCTTTCCTCATCGGGGTAACAATAGGCAACTCCCGACAATGATATCCGTAATTTACTTAAGATATCGAGACCTAATAATACATCAAATTGGGATTCCATTACACTGCTGAACTCTACTACTTCAAAAGAAAAATCGAAATTTAAATCATTAATATAACGAACTCTTAAAGGTTCTGTTAATCCAATTCGTTTTACTTTAATATTTTTCTTATTATTGTCAAGTGAAAGATAATTAAGAGACCCATTTATTTTGGAAATTTTTATTTCTTTATTGAATTTACTGTCTAAAATTGATTTATTTATGCATGAGATATCCGATCCCGTGTCTATTCTTGCTATTACTTTTTGCTCTCTAATAATGATAGGAGTCAATGTCAATTTTAATGGATTTCTTTCTTTCCTTTGCATGTTATACTTACATTCATACGCATCTGTTTCCATAGCCTCTTTGATATGGGAGGTCTTTGGCTCTTGATCATCTTCATCGTCCTCCCGACGAAGAGCCAAAACAGTACGATTCTTTTTTTGTTCATAATACTCCTTGCAAGTATGCCCATGTTGCCATTCCTTCTTGCAGTACCTGCACGGTTGCCCCTTCATCACGTTACCAGTAGCCTTGAACGGACTGTTCTTGCTCCCCAAAAACTTGCTCTTCTTTGGATCTTGACTACGGCACTCCTCAGCAGTGTGATTGGCCTTATCACCTCCATGTTTCGGACATCCTTGACTTTTCTTCGCCCCGTATTGTTGCCATTCTTGGGAGGCACTGCCACGTCTTCGCTTCACTGGTGCATTTACGTTACTAGTTACCAAACGAGCACTCTCTCCAACCGGTTCATCCCCAAAGATCTCACGACCGATGTCACAAATTTTGTCTACCGTGAACACATAGTTTTCATCCACCTGCTTCTTTGCTTCCATAGCTGCAAAAATTAATGGCTTGCACGGATCGCATAGTCTTGCTCGGAATAGAAGTACCACAATTTTATTGTCCTTGTTAATCCCCGCAGCGGCAGCAAAGTTCGTAAATTGGTTGGCGAATTGAGAGATGGATTGAGATGGTTTCATGTACAAGTCGAAGAGCTTCAGACTGTTGGTGTCTTTTGACTGAAAGTCCCCAAATTTTCTACAGATAATTTCCTTTGCTTCCGTCCAAGATGCACAAGTCAGAATAGTTTGCTTTCCCCAGGTTATGAAGTCAAATGGAATCGCCGCCAAAATGTATGTTCTCCATTCGTCCTCTACTTTTCTTGATAAGATGCTTAGCGTTGTTTCAAACTCATGTACAAAGTGTTCTACTGAGCTGAATGTTTCTTTGGTTGGAAAGTGTACTTTGGTCCAATGTGATAGTTGTAATTTTGGAATGTCAGATGCCCGGATCGTTTGGTTGCTGTGAGCCCACTTAGAGTCCTTGCTTCCCTTTGCTTTCTCAACTGGTTCCATGCTTGATTCCAGTATCTCGATCCTCTTCGTGATTTTATCCAACTTCTCTTCATAGATATTAATTTCCTTTTCAATGACCGAAGTTTGTGGTGTCACATCCATAAGATTCATCATTCTTGACCGATACTCCTCCTGATTTTTCTTGTAATTTTTTAATCGTTCTTCAGTACTAACCTCCTTCACTTTTTCAAGTTTTCCATGAGTGTTGTAGATGTTTACTTCCTTTACTGCCGATGTAATTTTCGCTACATCGTGACGTTCCCCGTTGGATGCATTACTTGCTCCTTCCAGTGGTACTGTTTCCTCACATTCCTTCATAATAGTGTCATTATCGATCACCATTGGATGGTCTTCTTGTTGAGCCATTTCGAATCTTGATTATAGGATAATCGTAAAAAATGTTACAAATCAATTACTTCTGATTTGATAAAAAAAAATATAAAGTATATAAAAAAAACAATGGTACGATAGGTACGATTATAAGTCCTTGTTACTTTATTTGACTGAAGTTTTAACTATGAAATAATGGGGTCTATTTATACTCTTTTGAAAGCTGACTGTTATTAGAATTGCTAGTCCATAAATTTATCTTGACTGTTGAATTCTACATGAATTCAAGGGTACGCTTGTCGCCGACAGATTGCTTCAATGATTTCTAATAATATTTTCTATCGGCTCTTCCATTGTATTCAATGTGTCAGAGTTCCAAATTTGGACAATTTATATAAATTTGGATTACCGATGATTTTTATTGTATGTGCGTTTAGCACAAATATAAACATTATTTTTGCCCCTCATATTTTATTATTTCCAATGTTATTTTTTGTAAAACCCATTTAATATTGCAAGGGTCAATAGCCCTAGTTTAATATACATTTAAAGAATATCCTCCAATACCATCTCGTTAAATAATAAGGTTATGATGTTTTCATTCGTTAGAAACTGGAAGTAGCGGTCGGTTTTCATGCGTACATGGACCGCGACCGCTAGTTCAGGTACAAATTAATTACCGCGACCGCTGGTCGAGGTACAAAATAATTACCGCGACCGCTGGTTCAGGTACAAAATTATGTACCTCGACCTCTGGTCTAATTTTTTCGCGGTCCAAATTATACTTCGACCGGAAAAAAAATTTGCGGTGAAGGTGTCAATGAATGAAGTAACTGTTAAAATTGATGTTGCAAGGTACGATATGATTGCATGTGAGTGTATAAGAAAAAGAAGACATAGTTACATACAAATAGGATGGAAGATGATCAATCCAGAAAAGCAAAGATGAAATAGAGAGAAGTATAATTAAATTTAAAAAAGAATACAATCAACTAAGAAGAGAAAGGACAAAACTATGAGGAACATGAAGACATAAGGTCAAGTACAATGTATTTAAAGAGGAATACCATCAAGTATAAAAAAAAGAAAGTAAATCTGCATGAATAACTATGTTTACGAGATGGAATGCCATTTGGAAAGGATCATCAATAAAAATACATGACAGATAGAAAACAAAGGAAACAGCAATAAAGGGACTAAATCTAAAAGAGAAGAGATATATACCTGTATTCTAAAGACAGAGATGGAACTGAAAAAGGGAATTTTCTTTATAACGTCACAATGAAGACATAGGGGGGTTGTAGCAAAAGTAGCCTTAAAGAGGATAGTTTTGCAGAAAAAAAGGTAGAAAAAAACAATAGGATCAATTAGAATTCTTGTCAGAGTTTATTGATGTTAAAGTTAACTAAAGATTTAGGAAGAGGAAAAATAAAGAGTATTTATAATAAATGGAATGGACGAGGCTGAGAATACTACTCTTAACAATATGAGTATGCTATCAATAGCAATATCTATATTGGAAAATTAGTGCTACGCATAGTCAATAGAGAAATAATAACAATAACATGTCTTAAGTTTGGACATTGGTGTTACGATACCGTGACACTTTAAAATAGTGACCGGCTTTAGCGAATTCCTTTTTTATGCCTGATCATGATTTAGCTATCATTTATCAGTGATGATCAGATATGAATTTATTATATGTACAATCTATATGTGTGATTTAGCACAGGGGTATATAAACGCTGTCCGAAAAGAATGTTGTCTATTTTTTTTTTTCTTTTTTCTTTATAACTTTTTTTGACATTATGGAATATTGTTGTATGCGAGCTGTAAATACACCTTAGCTAAGGTAATACGCTTGTGCTACGACGATTGAAGTATTCTCACTGCTGTCATATTTATCATATGTCAGCTGGTAATTTCAGAGTTCACGTAACACCAAATGCCTATTCAAGTACGGGTTGTTTATTATATTCTCCTTACTGCTCCTTGCGGGTTTATTGACAGCTTGAACAATATTTGGATATAATCTACCCACGATGGCAGGGTCCCGCTTGTAGTTTTAGTTGTATTCATTATGTATAAAAGAAATCATTATTTTTATGTTCAATAAAATTTAGTTCCTTTTTGCAATCTGGTTAATACTTTGTCTTATTTTCTATTTTGGATTTTTGGATTTTTCAAATATCCTGATTTTGAAAAGTTTATTAAGTACTTTCAGTACAATAATGCTCGTGAACCGCATCGCGGAATAAAACAATTCCAAAGAATAATGCGTGAGAGTGGCTTCCGCCTGGCTCATGTGAAGAATCACATTACATTAGCTACAAAATGTGATGGTTATTATGTAGCGGATCCACGTCCTTTAGACATATTGACCATCAACTGGGTAGATTCCTGTGGTGATGATGAAATAGAAGAGCACGATTCGGGCATATTGTTGGGTAGAGCAGTAGGAGCAGACGAAGATGAGGATGATGAATTTGAGGTTGGAGCTGCCACATTAGCAGCAGCATCATCAGCATCAGTAGCAGTAGCAAGAGTGGCAGCTTTGCCTGCACCTAGACCGTCTCCTGTCATTGAGAATTTACAAGCAGCAATGGCTAGGGCTACGCGCTCGCAAACATCAAAGCAACAGCACCACCTGCAGCAGCAACATCAACAGCAGCAGAAATCAATGACCAAGTTATTTCAACAGGGTTGTTAACTCGTTTAAACAAGTACGACACGCCCAATTATTTGGCCAAGTTACAAAAAAGGGCGGACGAATTGAATAGCTTGACCGGAAGAGTCAATGCGGGAGGGTATTTCATAAACTTGATGGAATCAGAGGATCTCGCTGGTTTCACACAGGAGCTGTCTGAAATGAATGACACGGTCAGTATGACAAGTAGGACAACAAATGTTTTCAAAAGTATATTATGCCTGTACCTTTATATGGCATATTCTGCGTACATACTGGAAAGAAGTTATACACCGGCTGAAGCTGAGGATGAGATGGTACAGAACGGAACAAATTCTACTGGTTTTTATCGGCAGAAGGTTAGAGGTGAACGTGTTCTTCACGTATACGGGTTGTTAAGTATGGCAGGCATTCTAGCTATAGAAGTTATCCATGTGGGATGTTATACCATGCCTGAATCTGCGTTCCACCATGAATTGGCAGTTATTATGGCACATCCTTTGGCCAATAAATTGGGACTCCTAAGAACGAATTTTATTGATTGGATGTACAATCAAATACAAGACAAATTGGTATCAATCAACGACCGACATAGAGAGCTGTCTGCGGCGAGCGAGATCCCTTGGGATGATATGGAGGAAGAAGAGAATGAGGAATAAGTTGTGTAAGAAGTATTGTCAAACAAGACAAAAAGGAAGAGGCGCAATCATAGATACAATTATTCTAATTTTAGACAGTTTAGATTTCTTTTTAGTTTTACCTTTTTTTTTTTTTTTTGGCTTTTAAGTCATTTTGCTAAGACTATTTTTTTTGTATATTTATAATTACTTGCGAAATAAACAATTTGTTTGAGAAGGAATAGTATTAGTGAATAAGGGGGTCTTTTATAAGTCATCACTGTCCATCAAGACAATGTTTTAAAATGACGACTCATGAGTGGAATATTCTTGATGTTCAAGCAAACGATGACACAAGAATAAGAAAAACTCCAACAGTCAGTGTACCAGAGAGTGGCAAAGTAAAGGGTTCACATGTCTCATAGACTAGGACGATAAAAAAGGTAAAAAAAGAAGATGGAGTACATTAACATGGGGGCCTTTAGGGGGAAAAGTGAAAAATGGGTGGGTCAGTCGGAGTCCAAATCTTAGTAGGGTTCCATCTCGGACTTGTTACTATGGTAACAAAAAAAAGCAAACGAAAGAATTGTGGTCAAGGCAGATTAAAAAAATATTTTTTTAAGAAGAGGTCAAGGTAGAATAAATTGTTCTGCAAGAGGTCAAATTCAAAAGAGACATAAAGACCAAGGAAAAGGTAGAGAGTTCCGAGTAGAAAAAAAAATATTTTATGCAAGATTAAAGGAGAAAAAAAATTTGCACCCCTGTTCAATATAACGTGAGAAAAATGGATGAGTCGGCACGTATGTTTATATTATGCAACTTGCTGAGAAATGATATAAATAGGGGTACTTTTTTTTTCAAGTTTAAATATTTTCCTCTCTCAAGTATTTTTTTTTTAAAATCATGACGCTAACCCCACAAGAATATGAAGGTGATGCTTGGCAAGTTCGAATTCGAGATGACCCGGATGAAGCTATATACCAAATGAAACGCTTGTTGCAGACGGCTGGGTTTGTTATTGCTACGTACAATGGTCCTCTTTATATGGGTGTATCAGTAGGAGGAAGTGTGCTGATCTGCTATATTGTTGCTACATTAAATAAACCTATATCTATGACATCAATACATTAAGAATGATTAAGGAATCAATTACCCAATATAGATAGTTAGTACTATCATATCACAAGGTTACAAGAACACAGTGACAAAGGCTTACTAAAGATATGGAAGTTGTCACGGACGGAACAGGAACAAGACACAGAAACTACTTGGCGACACGAGGGGGGCGATTGGTTAAAATAAAATATGTTTATTATTAAGAGGGGGAGGGGGTTAGGACTAAGATCCAGAATAACGTTTTTCTAATAAATAACTAGCATCTATTTATACTATTTCTTATACATGGGAAAACTACGATGGGTTTAAATTATAGATTAACAAGGGACTTTACGGAACAGATACATGAATAGATTATTGACAAGGATGAGTAATTGAGATTTGACGAGTAGTAACAGGCTGGATTTAGTTGACATTGAATAATATGATGGTTCGGGGAATATTTATGGTTTGACACGGGCGGGAAAACTGGATTAGGAATAAAGTAAAGGATGATCGGGAAAAGGTTTACTAAGGTTGAGTCAGACAGGAAGCGGGAGTAATATTGAGAGGCAGATTAATGATATGTTTTACAAGGAGTTCGGTGGCGGGCAAGATATACTGATATGATTTTTGGTACAAGGTTTTACAGGGAGTTTGGTAGCGGACAAGATATACTGATATGATTTTTGGTACAAGGTTTTACAGGGAGTTTGGTAGCGGACAAGAGATACTGATATTGATTTCTAGAACAAGGTTTCACAAGGGGTTTGAGATCATGGTTAAGTTATGCAGACAATAAACAGGGCGAGTAAGTTCATGACAGTCGCTCCCTCTTTAGGGTCGAGCTACTGTGAGACTACTTTGGCATGGGCGGGATGGGTTTGTTTGGTGAAATCGTTTAATCATGGCCTTGCAGTGTGTAAGATTTGTCGCTGGTTCCCATGTTCTATCCATCGAGCTGTAGCCCTTCCAATGGACCAGATACTGTAATGTGTTGCGTCTAATTCTTGAGTCTACGATATAATCCACTTCATATTCTTCATGATCATTTACGATAATAGGTGGCAATTCTTTGATAGGCCGACCAGGAATTTTATCAGGCTTGTATGGTTCTAACAGATTAACATGAAAAACTGGATGTATGCGCATTGTCGAAGGCAGTTCCAATTTATATGCACGTGATCCGACGAGGGCTATAATCTTGAAAGGTCCCAGACGTTTATGATCTAGTTTACCAGTGGGACGTTGTGATTTTATATTTTTTGATGATAACCAGACTTTATCGTTGATTTCGTACTTTGGGCCTGGTTGGACATGTCTGTTGTAGAACTCTACGTGTTTCTCTTGGGCAAGGGCAATATTGAATTTCATTTCCTGGTGAAGGTTGTGAATATTTTGTAAGCGTTCATTGGCAGGGGACTGGTCGAGGTTGGTTCTTGGTAGTGTTACTGACATACGAGGGTGATAACCATAGACTGCATAGAAAGGTGTGGTATTTGTTGATGAGTGTCTTGCATTGTTGTAAGCGAATTGTGCAATGGGCAAGTAATCACTCCAGTCTGACTGTTGGTAATTAATATAGCATCGCAAGTATTGTTCCAGTATGGAATTGATTCGTTCAGTTTGACCATCAGTTTGGGGGTGAAAAGCAGTTGACAAGTTCTGTGTGACCTTTAGACCTTTTAGTATGGATCTGGTAAATAAGGATGTAAATGTAACACCACGATCGGAAACCACATTGTCAGGTGCTCCAAAATGACAAAATACATGAGTGATGAATAGGCGAGATGTTTCTTCTGCATCGACTTGATTGGTGGTGGGAATAAATAAGGCCATTTTACTAAATCGATCTACAAAAACACAAATAGCTGTAAAATTCTTGGAAGGTGGTAGTTGTGTTATAAAATCAACTGATATTGATGACCAAGGTGAGTCCGGAATAGGTAACTGGTTGTAATAGTCCATATGGCTTGTGATGGCTGTTTTTGTTTCGTATGCAAGTTTCACACCCGGAAACGTAATCTTTAATATAGGTACGCATACCTGGCCAGAAATAATTTCTTGATACCATGTCATACGTCTTTGCAATACCAAAATGACCAGCAGCAGGCGTGTCATGACATTCTTCCAAAATAATTCTTTTGACACCATCAACTTGGGGCACACAAATCTTTCCATCATAAAATAAAATTTCGTTGTTAATACTATACTTGGGTTCAGATGCGGGGGATTGTTTGATGTTTTCGATGATTGGTCGGAAATATGGATCGTCGGGTAGGGCTAGAATAATTTCTGATAAAATGGGATTTTTATCAAGATCAATGGGTACAGAGATTACAGAGTTCAAAAATAGTTTTGGATCGAGTAGTGTCATATTTGTTTTTCCACGGCAGTCACCCCCCTCTAAAGGGCGATCTTTTCGAGATAGCGCATCTGCAGCAGCATTATGTTTGGCGGCACGGTAAACAATTATGTAATTAAAATCACCAAGGGTCTCGGCCCAGCGGACTTGACGACGGCTCAAATTCCGAGTGGTTGAGAAATACTCCAAATTTTTATGATCTGTGAGAACAATAGTGGTGTCTACAGAGAACTCCAAATAGTGGCGCCAGTGTTTGAAAGCGGCCACAATAGCCAACAATTCTTTATCATAAATTTGGTAATTCAGTTCAGCAGGAAGTAGTTTACGGGAATAAAAAGCGATCGGATGGTTATGTCCATCTGGTCCTACTTGGCTACATACGGCACCAAGAGCAAAATCAGAAGCGTCAGTCTCAATAATACAAGGTAATGTTGGATCAAAATGTAGCAGCACCGGGTTATTAACAATTTTTTCTTTGAGAGTATTAAAGGACTGGATGGCGGATGAATCCCAACAAAAAGGGACATCTTTTTTCAAGAGACTTGTTAACGGAACACAGAGTTTGGAATAATTGGCAATAAATCTTTTGTAAAAATTTGTCAAACCAAGGAATACTTGAATATCATGAACACTAGTGAGATCTTTCCAATTCTTGATGGCTTCAACCTTTTCGGGGTCCATTGCGATATGGTTAGGAGTAACAACAAAACCAAGAAACTGTACGCTCTTGACATCAAATTCACATTTTTCCAATTTCAGGGATAGTTGAGCGTCTTTCAATTTTTGTAACACAAGCCTTACATGGTTTGTGTGTTCTTCGGGATTATTTGAGTATATGAGGAGATCGTCAAGATAAACAACAACAAATGAATCAAGGTATTCACGCAAGGTGTCATTAACTAAAGCTTGGAAAGATGCAGGAGCATTACAGAGGCCAAAAGGCATAA